CCTTTCTGCCTCTCTCTCTCTCTACCTTTCTGCCTCTCTCTCTCTCTCCCTTTCTGCCCCTCTCTCTACCTTTCTGCCTCTCTCTCTCTCCTCTCTACCTTTCTGCCTCTCTCTCCCTCCCTCCCTTTCTCCCTCCCTTTCTCCCTCCCTTTCTCCCTCCCTTTCTTTCTTTCTTTCTCCCTCCCTTTCTCTCTCCCTCTCTCTCTCTCCCTCCCTTTCTGCCTCTCTCTCTCTACCTTTCTGCCTCTCTCTCTCCCCCTCTCCCTTCCTTCCCCTTTTTAGGCCTGGTTCACACCTGTACGTTTTGTAGCGCGTTCAACGCTCTACGAACGCTCTACAAAACGCTCAAACATGAAAATCCCATTGTTTTCTATGGGTATGGTCCACACCTTGCCGTATTTCAGCCTGTCTGAACACGCTACAAAACGGCCTACGCCTGAAAAGGTCCCTGAGCTTCTTTTTTGCGATGTTTTTGTCGCGCGTTTCCATTGGGATACAGCCAAGTAGCCCTCGGAAACGCGTGATTGTCGCGCGTTTTTTTTTACCGCGAATCGCGGTAGAAACGCGCATATTCAATACGCCTAGGTGTGAACAGAGCCTTATAGTAATCATGTTAGGACCCTAGGCACCCTTTTTTTTTTTGCTGTATTGCTTTTAAAGGAAAAATAACCTTGTGTCTGTACCGATTTTTCTTCTTTCTGGGCACCACCTTGGTGACGGGTTCCACCATAAACACCGCCAAACATAATAAAATCTTTTTGATGCAGTGAACGCTGTGCTTCGATATACAGCAGTAGTTTAATGGCCCTACAGAGACATTTATGGGAAACGCTTACTTTTATTAGACATTTATACTTGTGCATACATGCTAAGAAATCTACTAATGCATTTCAGAGTTTAGATAATTTCTTTCTTCTTTTATGTTGTTGTTATATTTTTAAAGCACTCGCTCTACTATACCAAATGTAATTGTGAATACCGTAAGAATTATAGTGTTCCATGCACGTGGCTTATATTTGTGTGTAGAATATAAAATACTGTAGATGTTCAATACTGTAACCCATACATAACATCATTATACTACCATTTTGTACAGTGTATATCCAATGTTCTATACTGGGTATACATGTCTAAACATAGTAAAAAAGAAAAACAAATGATTCGGGGCGTATGTTTTCTGAAACTTTTCCATCCTCCCTGAATTTGATCTGAGCAGTTTTTAAACTATCCAATAAATACAACAAGCATGTCACAAGGGTAGTATTTGGTGTTGCCCAAGCGGAGAAAGAAGTGAAACACCAGCAGTACACTGGAAAATAAATATAGTTAGAAGAGGAGTGGCGAGGGAGCCTTTATGGTGTAGTAGGTACAAAATACAGTATATGGCGCTAAAGGTATAAATGACTTGCATTTGTTAAGGTTGAGAGTGACCAAGGAATTTGGTAAACAACCTTGCGCAATATCTGTAAAAAAATAAGTCAAGGCAGCTGGAATTGCTGTATTTTTCTTGAAGACGTTTCACTTTTCATCCAACCGGCTTTCTCAAAAAGAGAAAGCTGGTCGTGTGACCAGTGAAACGTCTTCAAGAAAAATACAACAATTCCAGCTGCCTTGACTTATTTTTTTTACAGATATACCATGACCTGGATGAAGGAGAACCTTCACAGACATCCTGCCAGAAGAGCCTGTGGAGAATATAGCTGTCTGCACAGGATGATACATGCATTGCTCGTACAACTCCCTTGTGCACCGTGTAGAGGTGCTAGTGGCCAGAATGTGATGTCACTCCGATCCAGGCGTCTCTACAGGTCATGTGAGGGAGCTCTAAGCAATGCATTTATGGATGAAGCTCCCTCGCAGTTATAGCTCCAGCCCGCCCCACCTCAAGCTGACACTTGGCGCCGGGCAGCATATTCTGAATGGCTGCTCAGTGCAAGAGCTGATATTGCTACGCTAGGGGGAAGCTGAGGAGCCTCTCACATAGAAAAGTAGAGGGCACGCGGCGACCCACTGAAAATGAGGTCGCGACCCACTTTTGGGTCACGACGCACCAGTTGAGAACCAAGGGTGTAGACGACTTGTTCGAAATAGGGGGATAAAAACCCCATCATGAGGCAAAGGCATCCTTGGTTAGGTGTGTTGGTGTTACTTCTGTATGCCATGGTCATGCAACAGAGATCCAACTGGTGTTGGTATTCTTTCAAGGAGCAAGGTTTATTGGCTACACCAATACTTTTTGCTCCAGAAGTAACACCAACACCTAACCAAGGGTGCTTCTGCCTTGTAAATTATGTTTTTTTTCCCCCTCCATATTGAATAAGAAAAATGTCACAAGTCTATTTGGTCTCTGATACTTCTATGGTAGACTGGACGCTGGCTCTGTTGTATAAAAAGCAAATTAAAAACCAGAAAGGCTTCCAGTCCGTGTTATCAGCCTCATTCTGATTGGTAGTAGTACCTGGAGCCTTTACTCAAAATCTGAATTTTCTTAACAGAAACTGGTGCTGACGAACAACCAGCTGACGACCTTGCCAAGAGGAATCGGTCACCTGACAAACCTGACGCACCTTGGACTTGGGGAGAACCTTCTCACTCATCTTCCAGAGGAAATAGGTGGGTGACTTAAACAACCTTGCTTCATTTTTTTTTAAAAAGAGTCCCTGTAGTAATTAAAATATAATGTAGAAGATCCAGTTTACTTATTTTTTTTTTTTAATACCAACTTTGTCAGTAAAAACTGTACAATAAAGGACTTTATTTAGAGAATATATTAAATATGCACCTCCTAGAGCTAAAGATG